AACAAGGTTCCTTTTTCTCTAAGGTGAGTAACCCGTTGGTATCGCGGCTCTAGTGAGCTACAGGGATGGGAATTTCGGGCTAAGCCTGTTTGTGAAGTAGCGGCGCAGTGAGCGCACCGAGTTCTTTCTACAAGAAAAAGGAGGGTTTCACCTCCCTGAAAGTTCACCATCACACGAGATATTCAAAGCGGTTTCCAATGCCTTAGGTGATGTGAGTGGCTCCAACCTTTTCTTGTGTTGTCTGCGGTCTCTCATGCCACGCTTTGCGGTCAGAGGATCGCAGCTACATTCCCCTTTCCATGTCGAGATGTAGACAGTACGATGACAGGTTATGCTGGATAAGGAATAGAAGATATTTGAAAACAATTTTCAGAAAATTACGGCTTTCAAAACTCTCACTCTACATGGAGCAGTTTGACGAGAACGCATTCTTCGATCAACTTGAAGCGATGATGCCAAGAAGACTCGAGGCCCTTGTTCTATATGGAAACTATTTCGCTCTCAAAAAATCGAAGAAATACGGTCAATGGCGGAAATTTGAGGTACTAGACCCCTAGCGCGTACTTCTCGGCGTCCTAATGAGTACTTTACAGATAGTGTTCGGTACAATGACACCTCAAGTTCGTACACAGTGGTGGATGAGAGACGATGCTCTTCTCATGTCTCACCTCGTGAGAAGTGCGCCATATAAAATTGCCGACGATTTTCGGCCTATAAGGAATACGGTAATCTAAACTAGAATTACTCCTCAATACTTCTCCATAGAATCAGTCTCTGCATTTCAGACCGCTTCATGGCGTTTTGACCAGGCAGCAACTGATAGCGAGGAAGCTCGTCAAGAGAGGCAAAATCAGCCACTAAATCGTATTCTGCGTTTCATGCAAGTTTTCAGGGAGTAATACAATACAGTATGCTATGAGGCTTACAGTAACCATGATTACATTAAGAGAGGCCAAGCGTAACAAAATCTATATAAAGTTATACAGCAGCGAGTAGACTTCTGTAGAGGGCTAGCAGTACGGGATACCAAGATCTTGCAGCGAAACAGCACTTGGGCTAGAGAACAGGCAGAAGTGAGGTGCGCACACATGTAGCACACAGGTACTGCTAGTTTGGTTATTGTCAGACGTGTGGCCGGCCGTGCGACAGTGTGGGTGGAGTCCAGAAACGGTAACTGGGTATCACTAGCCTCCACCACCAACACATCTGAGCGGAGAAAGTGACACATTACTGGAGCTGCGAGCTCATAGACCTCATACTTGGCAAGAGCCAGGATTTACGTATATGAATGTACAGTTGGTCGTTAAAAAGGATGGTTAACTTTCCGTCGGCGCGGTTCGGTGACGGAGGGGGGATTTTCCAATTTCGCTGCTTCACTAGTCCCGATTTACAAGTATCACTCTGGTGATACCTGTGAAGTCTTAGGCCGCGTTCATAGCTTGCGACCGTGAAGAAATGCAGAAATGCGGAAACCGGAAAAGCGGAAAGTGCGGAATCTGCAGAAATGACGAAAAGCAATAGATACGTATCGACTTGAAGAAATGCAGAAATGCCGAAACTGCAGAAGTGCGGAATCTGCAGAAATGCCGAAAGTGCGGAATGTGCAGAAATGCCGAATCTGCAGAAGTGACCAAAAGTAATGGATACGTATCGATTTGAAGAAATGCAGAGATAACCGAATTGCGGAAGTCAATACGTATCGTTGCTTTTCGTCATTTCTGCAAATTTCCATTTCCGCACTTTCCGCACTTCTGCAGTTTCGGCATTTCTGCATTTCTTCAAATCGATATGTATATAATGCTTTTCGTCATTTCCGCAGATTCCGCATTTCTTCATTTCTGCATTTCTTCATGGTCGCAAGCTATGAACGCGGCCTTAATGAAGCTGGAGCAACCTCGTCGAGTCACCACGGTAAAACCCTGGCAATTCACGGCGAAAGACTTGTCTAGACCGATTCGACACGTCGCGATAAAAAGCAGCAACATGCAAAATGCACCCTCACTCCCCCTCCTCGTGCGTCGAACTGCCCTCTTCTACCCAGTCCCTCAGAAAGCTTCGAACCAAAGCTCGAATCTTTGCCTATATCCAACACAGAAATAGAGTGGTATCTATTGCAACGCCATATATCCCGGAGACGTGCAGGGCCCGGCCGCCACCCGGACTTACTGTTTGTTCTGAGCATAGCTGCGCCGGTTCAACAGGACTTGCACGCAGTATGGGAATAGGAGAGTGCGGAAGGGGTTTTGGACGCACTGCCTCTACTCCAACCGGCATGTCATGACATCAGGGCACATCGTTGTTGGGGAATCCCCAATAAGGGGGGGGGGAGGTGGGTCGTAGTTGGGCTGGAAAAAGTTATTTTGATCGTTGATTTTCCTCGCATCACGGACGTTGTAAAGGGGAGGGGGGGGTCGTACTTGGTCATTGTTGGGAGGGGGGGTCGTATTTACGTTTTGGCGTTGTAGGAGTGGTGGTTGACTTTTGGTGATTTTCCTGTTTCATGCGTACTATATGCCCCCCCCTCTCCCCCGCCTCGACAGCAAAATTTTTGGGGAAAAGTAGGGGTTTCCGGAAATTTTGGAAAAAGTGGCACGAAGTTGGGGAAAATTTGATAAGTGGTAGAATGGTGGTCGTATTGTCTCGCTGCTTTTCGCCAGTTTCAAAACGTCTGTGCTATTTACCCTCCACCCCTCCCGGCGCTCGACGGCCTCGAACTCCCACTCGAAAAAGGCGGGGGGTCGTACAGACTCGGCTAAAATCCCCAACCAAGCATGTGCCCTGCATGACATGACATGACATGCCCTCCGACACCCGCAGTTTCACGCTCATAATAATTTGTGTGGACACGTCCCCTCATCTCCGCGATGATAGTCAAACCGACAGATAATTGCTCACAAAAGAAGCTGAGATTAAAGAGCTGGCGCGAATGTTTCCTACTTAGCCTGAAATGCTAGTAGGACGCTATGTAGGGGGAAATTCGGTAGTGGGGAAATGGCGAAAGAACGGAGTGAAACGGTCAAAATCCTGCGAAGAAAAAGCCTCCGTTCTCAGTGACTTGTAAATCGATTTCGGACGAGTTTCCCGTAGGCATCTTACCAATCACCGCTACCGAAGATACGGCTGCATATGTGTACCCATATATGCATGCAGCATCACCGGCCGCTTCATACCAATCCCTTTGCTTCATAATTTGCTCAGCAATGAATGAATACGAGCGTCAGAAACGGTCGTCCGTTTGTGGGCGGGCGGGCGAGGAAGGCGTTTGGGACGGAATGTTGTTGCTCGATAGGGCGTTATAGGGGTACCCTCCTTGGAAAAGGCGCCACGGAGCGCCTGTCCGAGGTCACGGAATTCTGTTAAGCCAGTCGTATAAATCCTACATCTGTATAGCGATTTATCGTCTGGCGCAACGGCCTCAGAGTAGCTTGACCAATAAAGGCCGACAATAAAAGCAGGCGAAGAAGATAGGGCTACAATCCATGCAGTGTCACATCCAGCGTGCTTCATCTGGTTTGTCCATGCAGTGTCACATTCAGCGCGCTCCTCTGGTTGCCCATTGACTGGTAAGAAACACGGAGGGAATGAGATTCTTCAAAGCCACAGGGTCCGCAGGCAAAGAACTCTGCCCTCCCCGCCCCCTCCCCATTCGATCCACCCTTTTGAGGGTACGAACCCCGATCAGGTATATAAGTTAAAAGTATGGCGGAGGGAGGGTAGTGTGGTCCGCGACGAACTACCGTGTACTGGTTTCGCGGCGTCAGGGAGAGGCGCTATAGCGCAATATAGGATGAGTGACGCCTCTTTTTTCCCAGTGACTCCGCCTCCAGACTCCGCCTTCAGGCCCGCCCTTCAAGTGAAAGCAGAAGCTGCAGGACGAAAAAGCATGAAAATCGTCACTTGTACGGTCGTAGAGTTTTATCGAGGAATCAGCTGTGCGGATGAGGGCGTAGTGTTGAAGATGGAGTTAATTGGGCACGTACAAGTGGGATCGAATGGGGTTCTATTTAGGGCAGTGGCATGTTTTTCTGCTTTTTTCTTCACTATCGAGTTACTCAGAACCTTGTCGTCTATATGCAAACCCCTAATCCACTATCCGTGATGGCGAATGATCGCGGGCTTGCCTTCCAGAAAGACATTACTCATCGGTGGTGCAGAGCGGATCCTACCATTGTAACATCTTTGTGTTTACATCACTCGACAAAGAGGTGTGCGCCCACATGACAACCATGAAATGTGCATTATGGTCGTATGAGCCATCAGGAACTCGCGATAAAAGCTAAGAATCACAGTGATCTCTAGTAATATTCAGGAGACCTGAAGCACCAGCGCCACCTGTCGGCCAACCTCGTGCTTTGCCAGAAGTGAGTTTATGAGTCATCGTTGAGAAGGAAAAGATTCCATAGTTGGCCTGCCCCCGATAGTGACAGTTATGTATAGAAATCCATGAAGTGTATGAATTGAGTCCAAGCTCAGAAAAGTGGTCCAGTATCACAAAAAAGCAGTGTGGTTAAACTGCGTCGGTAAAGTACAGTGCAGCACGTAGGTCAACTGTAGAAATTCATTACAGCCACCACCTCCACCTCCTCCTGCTGCTGTACGAAGGGACAGGATCCGGCGTCGGTAGGTTCTTCAACCAGGTGGTCCACCATTTCAATAGTTGATGCTTTTGGTATGCGCCACGCTAGGCAGCAGTTTAATTACCTAATTATGTTTGGCCTGGAGGGAAGTCACGCTTACCACGCGCGCGATCCAGGAGACAAATCTTGGACCGGTTTCCGCTGAAGCCAGCCAAAACTTCTGTCCTCTCCTCCGGGGACGTGGATTCATACCACTTTAGCCCGGAAAGATAAAAAAGCTGACTTGCACATTCAAGTCATTGTGTAAGCCATTCAAGAAGCCACTACGATTCTGAATGGAAGTACGATGTGATTCCACATCCCATAAAAAGATCACCTTTTTAGACTGGCGGAGAGCTTTACCTTTAGCTAGGCATCCTAGACCTTCAAATTGCAAGAAGATGTTAAGCAAATACGCAGCCTCTGAGGATGACTTGACTGCTCTGTTTCAGGTCGAACGCTGCCGCACCTGCCGAAGAACCTAGGCCTATGCCGATAATGTTCACTATTCCTGCAGACGGCGCCGCATCAGCTCCGCTTGGAGTGATTATACCCACCCAAGCCGCTGTGGACACGATTGCTCCACCGATTCCGAACAACAAGAGCAGATTCGGGAACAGTCACCTGGGCTGGATGGTCCCCCAACACCCGCTCTTCCTGTCGCCGCACCAGCTGTTCCTGTTGCCGCACTACCTGCACCTGCATTTACCAGCTCTGGAAGCTGGCCGAACCCTTCCCGTAGATGCAGTACCAGCGCATGTGGCGGCACCTTTACCTACACAAGGCCAATCCATACCACCACAACCTGTAGGAAGTCAGGGGAGTGTGGCTGCTCCGGCTCCTCTACAACCTCCTGGAATTCAAGCTCAACAGCCTGATCAGACGTAAGTGGTCCCGTTAATAATATCATCGACAGCCATGAAGAAAATGTCTTTGCAGCCTTCAAGTGCAAGAAGTCCCCGCAGAAACACCAGCTGCAGTGAATCAGCCGCAGCCTACTATACAGTCGCCCGAAGAGCATGCAGCTGTTGGTTTGCAACCAGGTTCACGAGAAGACGCCCCACCACATCTCTTCATTATCAATGCAGAACCAATTGGTCAGCAAGGTCCAAATGCAGCGGCAGCCAACGCCCCAGCCGCTCCAGCTGCCCAACGTGAGCAGTGTAAGCTGTAAACATAAGCAACTGCTGGAAAGGAGTAAATATTTTAGCACCTCGCGCTGAGCCGGGACAAGGCGAGCAACACGAAGTTCATGCAGACGATGAGAATATTAATATGATGTGAGGAACATTATGATTTAACAATATAATTGTGAACCCTCCAGAGTGAGGGACATCAAGGAGACCCCAGGGGCAGCAAAAGTTGCACTCCATGTCCCGGAGATGAGGAGGGCGTGGTTACGTACTTCATTTGTTGTCTGTGGCTGTGCTTATTGGGTGGTATTGCCGTTTTTGGACAGTAGCAACTGTGTCCTTGTCCAGCACACGACAGGGTG